TTTCTGATGAAGTTCAAAGGGAAGGAGCTCTGCCATGAGGCCTTTGGGGGAAAAACCCTCAACTTTGTGGTGAGATGCTCTTGCTTGCAGGAGTCCCAAGGGTGCTTTCAAATGTCCTTGAGTCAAAGTCAGAATTGGTCTGAAATCAAGGGCCATGGCTGTATTCCTTCAGTCCTGTATTGTGTTGATTTTCCTGGTTTCAGTGCTAGGGGCTTAACCTGGCAGTCTGTTTCTCTCCATGTACAGCAATCCTTCGTGTACAATATAACCATATGGAACAAGCTTAGCATTTCTTTTTCACATTTATAAACTGTATGTGGGAGTATGTGAGTGAGAGTGGGTAGGCATGCACATACCACAGTGCTCCTGTGGAGGTTGGAAGACAATCTTTGTGGGACAGTTCTTTTCTTCTATCATGAGGATACTGGGAATTGAGCTCAGGTTATCAGGACTGGTGACAAGTACTTTTACTCACTGAGCCAGGGACTCCTTACTTGGGCCATGGCATCCAAATTTCTGGAATAAAGCCCATGAATTATTTTTTAAAATTTCCCCAAGGTAAGTATACTGCCCAAGATTTAATAATCTAGATATATTATCCTCATCTTCCCTTCCTCTCTCCCTCTTTCCCTCCCTTCCTCTCTCTCACCCTTTTTCCATCTCCTCCATCTCTCTCTCCTCTGTCTTTCCTTCATTCTTGGTAGGCTAACCTGAAAACTCTAATCACCACCATCAATAGTTTTGAAGGGCAGAAGATGTTTCATACCAAGGCATCACTAATGTATAAATAACATTTTGGAAGAAATTGCAACTAAAGGCCTGAAATTTCCTACAGAGCTCCAGGCTGTAAAAAGTTTAAAAGGTGTATTATTTCATCCTTTCTTGATGTCTAGAGAAATAGTCATGCCAAACTGCAAGTCTTCGTGCTTTATTTAGACTCTGTCATATTCAGATTGACCCAATCATAAAGAAGTTAGAAACCATCTGAATTCTACACACACTTGAGGATCTGTTGGGCCATCACCCCATTTCTTTTTCTAAACTAAATAACCCGTTTATCCTCATTATTTTCCATGTAGAAATTGCCTGTGCTCTCTGATTATCATGCTCTACTTTTTCTTCAGACTCTTTTGGTTTGGTTTGGTTTTGAGACAGGGCCTTACATAGCCCAGAATGGCTTCCAACTCTCTAGGTAGCAGAGAATGACCTTCAGATTATAACCCTCCTGCCTCCATCTCCCATGTGTTGGGAGTACAGGTGTGTACCACCATAACTGGTGCTAGGGATCCAACCCAGGGCCTTGTGCATGCCAGACATACGCTCTATCAACTTCAATACATCCCAGTCTCCATGGAGGGCAGGTCCCAAGTAGCTTCTCCTGGCCTAGGGTGACCTTGAACTGCTGGATTCTTCTGCTTACACTTCCAGGTACAGAGACTACAAAACCCACATCACCACACCTGGCTTACTTTAGCATTTGAAAACAGAACCAAGAGTCCCTTTTAAGAGACTCTAATGCATTTCTAGGGAGTGACTCAGACTCGTGGAAAGCTAAATATCTACAGAACAATGCAAATTTGTTTTTGTTGCACAAGTTCCTTTATTGGGGTGCTCTGTGGTATCAGGTCTGTTAGTCACTTCTGGGTTTAGGAAACCCAATAAAGATCAGATTCTGGACAGGACCCTCAAACTTCTCCTTTTCTCTTTATTATCTTCTTTCATTGCCCCTGCCTACTGTATTGTAAGTTTTTATTCTTTCTTAGTTTTCTTTTTCAGCTCAACAAAGATGCTTGTAGAAGATGGGCTTATTCACCTTCACCTCCATCCTTTTTTCTTTTCTGTGTTTCTTCCACCAAAAGTAGACCATCTGTCTCCTCTCCTTGGTGTGGCTACAAAGCATGCTTTAGCAGTTAGCTTATGGACAGTTCTAAGCACAGGCCTGTTTCTGCCCAATTCTCTATATCCTCTATTGCCATAGAAAGATAGTAAGAGCAGCCTGTTAGCCTATTGGTACACAGAAAAGAAGAGCAGATGCATCCCACATACAGCTTAGAGCCGTTTAGCTGAGCTCAGCCCTCTGAGATGGAGCTCAGCTGTGTCTAACCAAAAGGCAGTACCTCAGAGGAACAAATGTTCTTTACCGCATGAGGGATGGCAACCCTCTTCTTCCCTTGGGACTGGGACATAAACACACAGAAACCTTTATAGGTTGAGTATACCTAACCTGAAGACTTAAAACTGGAAATGTTCCCACATCTGAATCTTCATGACCACTGACAAGGAGACTTCTTCCCTCAAACGAGTCGATGTACAAAATTTGTTTCAAATGAAAACTTATTTAAAAATATTGTACAAAGTTTCCTATAGGCTATGTATAAGGTCTATGTATGAAACAAACACATTTTGTCATTCTATCACCAAGGTATCTCATTGTACATGGGCAAAGATTCTGAAATAAAAGAAATTCAATTCCCAAATGTAAACACTCTGATCCCAAGCATGTTGCCAAAGGGTATCTCAATCTACAGGGGGAGAATACAAGAGAGGGGAAGCAGAAATCAAATTCCAGAGTAGGAAGGATGTCCTCTGTCAGGAGGCCTGGAGTAGGAGAAGGTGCCTACAGCAGCCTTGCTTATATGCAGTAGTATCCCTGAGAACGCAGCTTACCCTGGCCCACATCCAGGGCCCATGAGGCCAAGGCCTGGCAAGGCCCTAACAGGAGCAGGCAAAGTGTGCCCTGACTCGGAGCCTAGCCACCCACTCCTACAGCCCACCATGGTTCCTTCCCTCTGTCTTGGCTGTCTCACTCTTAAAAGGAATCCAAGAAGGTCCTGCACACTTATGTATGAGCTCTTCATTCTCTTGAGTCAAAGGTGGAAAGATCTATTCTGTTTTTCTGTGGCTGACCATGCCCGTCTGAACGCCCTGCTCTTACAGCACACTCCAATGGTTGACTTTGCCTAAAGTAAGCTTTCATTTTAGAGTCCCATCACAGCCTGTCAGTGGCTTATCAACTCCTGGACCATGAAAACAATCATTTCCAATCAAGCCCAGAAGAAAAACAGAAAAGGTCATAGAATTTACTCCTTCTGTACTAACACACCCTCCCTTAGCTTTTACCCTTTGTGTACCCTAAAGTGGGCTTACTCATGAATATGTGCATATGTGTGTGTATATGTATATGTGTATATGCATATATACATACATTCCCCCCCCCAAATGTTCTCTTGAACATGTCTCTCACAAGCAATAGTTAGCCAAGCTTTTCTGAATGGCCTGGCAAACCGGGAGCACAGGCTGAAGTGTGCCTTGGGGCTATCCATTCAGTGACACAGCTGGAGTCTCTGAGATACCTCCAGTCTTCCTTCACTAGCTTTGCGTGTCAACAGCAAGGAGCAGTCCAGCTGGTAGACTCTGCTTTGTTTGTGGGATGGCTAATGGTGTCTGTCAACTTGAGTGGATCTGAAATCTAAGGCAAATGGCCAGCCACACTCGTGAGGGATTTTCTTGACCAAGATACATGATGTGGGAAGATCCACGTTAAATACAGGCAGCACCTCCTGGTGGCAGCCTAGATCAAAGGACTCAGAGGAAGGAACGCTTTGCTTTTTGCCTGTCTTCACTCTTGTTGACCATTTCATCTAGCCTATTGCTGCTATTGTTGCATTGCTTAACTGAGAGTAGCACCAGCTTCTCTGCACTTCCAAATGTAGACTGAAGACTGAAGACAAGCATTTCTCCCCAAATGCTTCAGGCCAGATAGAGACTGTGGACTGTGGACTGAGTAGCTACCAGATTTTTCATATTTCTCATGGGTATCAGCCGTCGTTGGTCTACCTTATCATGTAAGCCAATGTAATAAATCTCCTTTGTATACATAGTCATTCTATCAGTTTGTTCCTCTAGAGCAGAGGTTCCCAACCTTCCTAATGATGCTTTAATAAAGAACTTTAATACAGTTCCTCAAGTCATGGTGACCCAAAACAAAATTATTTTTGCTGTTACTTCATAACTTCACTTTTGCTAATATTATGAATCATAATGTAAATATCTGATATGCAGTATATCTAATATATGACCCCTGTGAAAGGGGTCATTTGACACCTAAAAGGGTTATGACCCATAGGTTGCTCTAGAGAAAGCTGACACACTTAGTTACATGGTTAATTAGTTGGAGACAGTATGTGACTATGTATCCTAAACTGTCCTTGAACTGAAGTTTCTCTTGCCTCCTGGTACACCTGCCACGCCCTTGTTTCAGCCTCAGGAGGAGATGGAAAACCAGAGGGAAGGTCTTAGGCAGAATCTGATGGAACAGGTTGACTGGAGAGACTCCGTTCACAGCACCTTCCATCCTCAGCCCCTACCTCTGTCTAGTTGTCCTGAGACCTGGGTTGGCTAGAGTTGCCAAGGGGAAACTTCTATTTTTTTTTCTCCCTAGTGGACCTGACCAGTTTCCTGGTCATAGGCAGGCCATCTACCTTCTATATTGAAATAGTCAGAAACTGGTTGAGGGCAGTCAGGGAAGCAATGTGCTCTCTGGGCCGTGCAAGGCCATGGAAAGGTGATCTACAGATTTCAGGCATACAGCCTAATCTTTTCTATGCTGTCTTCATCTCAAGTCAATGAGCTTTGGCTTTAATTCTCCTGTCTCAACTGATCACACAAATCTATGTAGAAAACCTTCACAGTGGCCACAACAGCCAACAGCTGTACCCGTAAAGAAAAAAGATAAAAGCTGATAGAAGAACTCAAAAGAGGGCATGAGAGGGAGGCAAACTGCTTGTAATACCTCACTGGCCAGGGAAGACATCTCTGAGTGGCATTATAGGGCAAACAGTACTACTACTATGAGGAATAATGCTGTTTCATGAAGAAAAACTAGGCAACACTAGTATCTACTTAGGAAGACAATTTCTACAGCACCAGCGAAGGTGGCAGCATGGGAAAAGCGCCCCCTCCAGGAGAGAGGTGGTTACTGCAGGCTGGGGGTTACCTACCTCTGAATGTTATCTTCAAGCTGCTTGACTTTGAACTCATCCTCCTCAGACTGCCGGCGCCTGGCTTCCTCCTCCTCCTCTGTGCCTGCTGGTACACCCTGCAGCAGCCATTTTTCCCGGAGCACTTTGGACTGTGGGAAGGAAGACAACAGATGACACCTTTTGGTCCATGAGTTTTCTCTGGACCGGCAGAGCTTCTCCATCACATCTGCCCCTCAACAGTTCAGGCCTGGTCACTGCCTTCACCTCCTCCCAAATATGGCCATCTACTTCTGCCTGGCAAAGCAACAAAGATTTCCGGATTGGTTTGTTTGTTTGTTTGTTTGTTTTTACACCTTGTCTTGTTTTTAAATTCAGTTGAGACCCTACCACATACCCAGCACTATTCTGGCTGCCAAAACCAAACCAACCCAAAAACCAATTCCTGCCTTACACATCTTCTTTTCCAGTAAGGAGAGAACAAAGACATAGTTCCCGCACACATTTGCAGATACATGCATGTGTGTGTAGTTGCCCACACCAGCATGCGTGTGGCAATCTATGTAAGCTCACACACATGCATGCACATACAGGCGCAGCCTGCCCCCCAATGAGTCTAGGAATTCCTCAAGCAGAAAGAGAAAGAAAGAAAGCGTTGCTTTATTTATGAGACGGATCTAAAGGGCTTCACTGAAGCGGTGACAGTCCAGCAGAGAACTGCAAGATGTAGGCACCGGACAACAACTCTCATAAGGGCATACTTTCCCAGGTCACCACATCAGAGCATTACAGAGATCTGTTCGGTTACTCTCATGGTGGGCTAAGAGGCAAACTCGGGGGCTGCAGAAATGTCTCCACAGTTGAAAGCACTCATTGTTCTTTTAGAGGACCTGGGTTCAGTTTCAGCACCCGCATGGTGGCTCACATCCATCTGCAACTCAAGTTCCAGGGAATCTGACTCCCTCTTCTGACCTCCTTAGCCACAGCTATGTATGTGTGGGAAACAAAACAAAACAAAACAAAAAACCCAAAAATAAACAACAACAACCCTATATAAATAAGATAAGATAAAAATATAATATAATAAAATAAAGGCAAACTTATAGTACGTAATCTATAATTTTCTAATAAAATGTAAAGATATGAATTTGCTTACATATATGATTACTGCATAGCTAAGATGACAGGACAGGGGATGCTCTGCCTTCCTTAGCTTTAACTATCAGCTAGACACAGTCTAGCGTCACCTAAGAAGAGAGTCTGAAGAATTTCCCAGATCAGACTGGCCTGTGGACATGTCTGTCTTGATTGTTAGTTGATGCAGAATGAACCATCCCCCTGGGTGATACTATTTCATGGGCAGGTGGTTATGGGATGTATAAAAATGATAGCCATCTGTGAGCCGAAAGCAAGCCAACAAGCAGCTTTCCTCCACAATTTCTACTTTTAAGTTCCTAATTGAGTTCCTGCCCTGTCTTCTCTCAGTGTTAGGTTGTGCCCTGGAAATGTAATAAAAATAAATCTATGTAGCTGTGGGTAAGAGTGTCTTATCAGCAACAGAAAGGATGCTAGAGTATTACCTCAGTTTAAGATTACCCAAGAGTCACTGAGGGGAGGCTGACGGTATGGACAGTGGTAAAGCATATGCTAAGTGTGTATGAGGTTCTGGGTTCTGTCTCTAAAAGCATCCAATAAAATTTATTACTCATAAAAATGGGAGGGGAGATAGGATAGAAGGACCCTCATCCTTGAGTCCCCCACAGTCAGGTGGTATATCACGTGTCCATTCCTGAGGTTAACAGAGGAAGTTGTAGTTGATCATAACAAGTGACTGCTGAAAGAGTTATCTAAAAGCAAAGCACACACACTGCATTTTATCAAAAACCTAACTGTAGGCTAACAAAGCAAAGAAAGACTTCAAGATGGTCTGCTTAAATCTTTCTGCTGTACATCTAAGGTCGCTGACAGGAAGCAACTCTTTGAATTGATCTAGGTTCACAATATCAAGGGTCTGGAGCAGGATGGGAAGTAAGATACAGATTAGGATGAACAAAGCCTCTCTCTCTCTCTCTCTCTCCCTCTCCCCACCCCCTTCTCTATATGTGTATTTTCCATTCTGTTATCCCTAAAAGAAAGGTTGTAGTCCTTAAAATGTAATGACAACTTTTTCAGCTTGGAGTTGGTGAAGACTCTAGTCAGATTTGCCCGACTGTGACTAGGTGCTTCAAAGCAAGTAAATACTGAAGATATGGTATTAACAACTTGATCCTGATAGTGCTGATAAACACTTCATAAATGTGACAGTCCCAAAGGAATGCAAGTTGTGATACACGCGGAACACATATTCTGCCCTGGACTTTGAACAGACTAATGAAATAGACAAATCTCTGGCCATTCAACCAAAGGGCAAAGAGGAATATTAAGTTCAGTGTGTTCTGGTGTAACACATTAGCTGATTTATTTTTTTAACTCACATTATCACAAGTCATATTATAGAAACAATAAAACAAATCATTGTTTCTATAGATTATAAAACAAAAACAATTCTTCAAAAGAATAATGATGGCTCTTGTTTCATTAAAATATTACAGTATATGAATACAACTATAGAGATTAGATGAGAATGGTACCAGCTGAGCAGATAAATGGAATGAAAAGAATATCAAGGTGTGGACTTGGGTATAAGGGTGAAATATTTGTGTCATTTAAAGATGACATTTAAATCAGTGAGGGAAAGGAAGAATTAATAAATCATGCTGATGGCTTGCTACGAGTAAAAACATAAAGCTTTATTCTTACCTCATACTTTATTGGAAAATAAATTCTAGAGGAATTAAAACTACTGAAGTTTATGGTCAAGCATTTGAGATGAAAATATTCCCAAGTAGAATTTAAAAAAAAGTAACACATGTCAAATAAGATTTCATAAATATTAAAAATTTGACTTGAAAATTCAAAAGAGCCAACATATAAAAATCCCCCCCCCCCAAAAAAAAAAGGATTTGGATACAGATGTCAATATAAATTAATTTCACCCAGGGGTTGATGAAGCTTGTGACAAGGATTGCACATCTTAATCTATAGACATATGTTGGGGTTATATAAAACATACACTCCTGTGGGGTTCAGTTGATGGCTCTTTTTTTTTAATGATGTTTTTATTCTCTATTTTTGAAACAATGATATAATTTTTCATTTTATGACAACCAAAACTAATACAGCTATCAAATTCCAATTTCTGAGTATTTCCTAGAAATTCTTACTTAAAAGCATTAATTTTTAAGTAAAAGATGAGCATCTCCTTAAACACAGCATCTCAAGGTTTCCTGTCATGGGGGCGTAGCAGATAGGGTCTTAGCTTTTCATACACTGATCATTTGTTTTAATGAAGAATTTGCCAAGTAAAGCCATGAACACTGCAATGAGCAAGAATATTCAGCAACCATACAAGTACCCAAACCACTGTCTTGCTATTTATTTGTCTGGACAGGAAACCAGTGGCTCTGTCTAAATAATTCATATCTCAGTCCTGACAATAAGCATCCATAAGCCACTTGATATATGCATCAGATATGAAAGATATACAAAGAACATCAAAATTGTATCTTAATAGATATGAAACCCAGATTTAATGCTTTTCTATCTGTCTTTGCACAGAGAATATTTATTTTCTTCAAGAGTGTCTGAGATTTTGTAAATTAGTGAGATAAATGTCAGTTATTGACATCTTTCTTAATGTTTTATGCTTTAAAGAACCTACAATAATCATGTTGACATGATTCCACATGGTTTAAATCTTCTATGGCCCATGAAAATATACTGAGAGTAAAAGAGACAGTGGTGGTGGCAACTGGCACCTGTCTAGTCAAATCACCTAAAAGGGACCGTCCATTCAAAGAGTGTCCTGGGAAGAGCCTTGTCTATGGAAACAGACAGCCCTGGGGTTCAACTTAGGTTCCCTCACTTAACAGACTGTAGAGCCCTGAGCAAAATACTTGCATCGTGAGTTTGTTTCCAGACTGCGAGGTGGGGAAAGGGACACCGATCTTATGATGGTTATTGAGAGTTTGTATTTAAAGTTGCAGGCACAGGCTGGGTACTTTAAAAGAAGCAGTGATTACCACTGATTGGACAGGAGAGTGTGGAGGCTCCCGTGATGTGAGCGGAAGCTAGCACCTCTCCTCTGAGATGCTCACACAGGAAGGAATAAACCTAAGTGCCTTTTTTTTTCTACCTAAGGGGTGATCACCAAGCTGGAAGCTGACCAATGGGAGGAAAGATGACTCACCACTCAGTTGAGTCAACAGTGTGTTCATTTAACACACTGGAACGCTCTCCCTTCTGGTGACTGAAGTCCCCTAGGCAGGCACCCTCTTCCTTCTATGGTAAGCAGACTACTAATTTAGGAAGGCTGGGCTCAGAACAGAGACACATGGAATCATAGCTGCTTTTCAGGGGCACACTAAGACTTCTCCTTGTCTTATCAATATTCCTGCTCCTCCAGCATTCAGAAACGGGGTACTCCTCTGGGTGGTATCTGAGGCACACCACCTCTGGAGCTTTGGGTCTTTACCTTTTAGTTTTCAAGGCTGCTCGTCCATCCTTATTCTGTCTACCCAAGCCTTCCCCGAAGAGGGGAAAAGACAGTGCATTGCACTCTGCTTACCAAACTAACAATCACCTTCAGCCCTTCCCATCCCGTTAGCAAGATTACCGTGATGCAAGTGTTGCCTGTACCTTTGATAGCCAGTCTCAGAAATTACCTGATGCTCATGTTGCCAAGTCCCCGATGAAAACTCAGTGTTTCCTCACACAAAATGAAGTCAAATTCTCTATTGTTTCTTTAAACTTGATGGATGGATGGATGGATGGGTGGATGGGAAAATAAGGAATGAATAGATAGAATATGAACAGAATGGTGTGTGACTGTGCTGGACAGCAGCAATGAATAAGTCCTTGCCATCCTACCTGGCACTCAGAATAATGACAGTGACCAAAGGACCATGGTCTCTGGAGTGTTCACTCTCTGACTTTGAATTTAAGAAACACAAAGTCAGAGCGCTGTGCTGAGGCTGGGGGTGGGGCGTTGGCAGTGAAGAGGCTATTTGCTGCACATCCACTCTTATCAGAAAGTTGTCCTTTTAGCCCATAATTAACCGAGTTCTTGGTACATGTCTCTCTTCCACAGAGGGCAAATTGCCTTCACTCTGTACCAGAGGCCCAGATGCTCTCTGCAGACTGGTCTTGTGCAATCCTGTCAGCATTTGTAAGCCCACCTCTGCAGAAAGATAATCCTAATTTTAGTCCTAATCTTCCCTGGGGAATGTTGTCAGGAGACAGTGACAGCATTTGAATGCACTGCAGGCTGCTACAAAGACAGGTCCAGAGACAGAGTGTCAAGACAGACAGAAATGGACAACCAGCACCATGCTGCTTTTCCTCCTCTCTGGTTAAAGTTCACGGTGAACTTACAAGCACGCCGAACAGATATAGGTCAGGCTGCTCTTTGAAATTATGAGCCAGCTTCATCATGATTCTCACTCTGAGGATTCATTTAGCACAACCTAGTTTTGCAGAGAAGGGGAAATGCGGGAGGAAAGGCCCCCTCTGTTTCAAAGAGTCCAGAAAATGCACAAACAGCAGTGACCCCATCAGCAGCCCCTCCCAACCAGCCCTCTGAGAAAAGCAATTCTGCACACACAAGGTCATAGTAACTTGAGGCCAGTGGGAGGTTTTGCTTTTAAAAAGCCCCAGAACAGTCAAACAGGCAAGCAACAACTCCGGGCTGGTCCCTGAACATGCCACATTATTATCCAGACATGCAAAAAGCAACAGTCAGCCACTGTTAGGGCATTTGTGACAGTGACAGAGCTGTCCCCTCTACTGCAATCAATTACAGTGCTTACATGCATTATGTTTGAAAGGGAAAAAAAGTCACACATACAACCACCTCTTTTTAATAAGGTGCAATAGACACTGAACCAAGACAAATCATTTGAAAGCCACGTCTGGCCAATCACTTGTTCTAACAGAACATTTCCAATATGGTAAAGTCAAAATAAAATAGATGAGCAATCTGAAACATGCAGCATCGTTCTTTTATTAGATCATACTGTCTCATCTCCCTCCCCCACAACCTCTCTTAACAAGAAAGATTCTTTTTCATTTTCAAAAAGTCCATTATGTGAAGTACAGCTTTTGGAGACCCTGAGCAAAATACACAGGAAAAACAACTTGGGACCATGTGGAATGGAGTATTCATATGGGCTTTTTTTTTTTTTTTTTTTTTTTTAAAAAAAAAAAAAACAACTAGTATTTATATCCTAGTATAAATAAACATATGTATGTTGCACAGGAGGAGTGTAATCTCATGCTTGTAAAAATCACAATGCCATAAGGATGCCTGAATCTGAGAAAAAATCACAAAGAAAGGCAAGAGACCCTCTCCTGGTTGCGTGGAAAAAGCTGGTTCAGAGGCGCTGTGCCTCTACGGCAGGCAGGATCTGCATGGCTCTGAGACTTGTGCTCTGCAGCTAATCGCACAGGTCCCTGGGATCGGCGGCTTACCTTGGAATGCTGGAGCAGCAGTACCTGCTCGTCAAGCTGTCTTCTCTTCCCCTCTATTTCTGTCTGCCTCTTTCTTTTTTCCTTGAAAATGAAGAGAGAGAAAGAGAGAGGCTGTCAGAGTGGGTGGGTGTTGGCTCCAGGAATCTGAAGGGAGCGGGAGTGAAAACAGTACACATCTGTGCAGACACTTCCAGAGAGGCTGGGCACACACAGCGTCACCTGCCCCACCTTCACTGGGTGGACAGCAGGCAGCATCCTTTTCTGAATACGTCTGCAGTGGGCTCCATGAGAAACAAGTTAATTAATACACACACGAGCACACACACACACACACACTGCTGCTGCTGCTGCTCTCTATGTTGTGCAGACAAATAAAAATGTCTCAGTGTTGCTTCAAACTGCAGGTAGGATGAAATGGTGTTGGTAGGGAGTGAATTCTTTTCATCCAGATCATGTGCACATATAATACAGAACAATTTTAAATTTGGAAGAATAAAGCATCAAACTGGACACACTAAACAATGCAAACAGGAGGGGTGGTCCTTGCTTAAATAAGCTTTGTGGTAAAGCAGTTCATGTGGGTGGGGCTTTCTGTGGTTAGGGTAAACAAAATGCCTAGGGTCTGCCTGGGTCCGAGTGCCAGCCCCGCTGGTTCCTATGTGCCTTTTAGGTAAGGTTTAAGCTCCCTGGGTCTCCTGAATGGAGACTGCACAGATGACATGGCCAAAATGTGACTTCTAAGTGAGATGATACATACAGAACGCTGGGAACAATGCTTGGCATGCAGCAAGCATTCGCTCTCCAGTGTCTGCTATGATTTGCTTTGTCACACATTCATTTCTAGGAAATACCTAGAAACCCATCTGAAAGGGATGCATTTTTACCATAACCGTTCCATTGGAATGCACACTTCACTTTTTTTTTCCTCAATACTTCTCCAGCGCAGCCAATAAACAGCACAGGATTGTGACTCATAAGAACAGAGAGGCCCACCCTTCCCACAGCAGACTTGTCAATGTTTTGTTTCTGAAGTATACAGGGCTGCTTTACTGAGACATGATCATCAGTGGGTCACTTTCTTTTCCTCACAGACGCAGGGAGAAACTTGTTAGGCAGGACATATTGGCATTTTAAAACACAACAGCCAAATCCTGGGGACACAGTGATACTGAAGCCTGACTGCCATGCTTGGTGTTAATAGAAGCTTTGAAATTATGTAGTGCCATGTTTCTGGGGATGTGATCATATCACTGCTGTTCAAATCAATTTAATACATGCAATATATAAACTTGAAGAAATATCAGCTCATAATCTTTAGCCGTTAGAGTGCAACCTCTAAGTAGGAACGGAAGTTACTAGCAAAATCAGACCTGTGAATGTTATAGGAACCATTTCCCAAAGGGATCCAATAAATAACACATAACTGATGCTACAGAATGCTACAGAGCATTCTCCCAAAGCATCACATTTCTGACAGTAGGTAGCCAGGGCTCACTAGAAAGAGCCCATCTCCTAGCATCTCAGAGGTACTTCATAATACAGCAAGGACCTCCATCCATGCTCTGGAAATTCTAAAGAGTAGATTTATTAGACCTTATCACTAATTGACTGTCGAGACATGCAGATTTCCTGCACTTAAAGCCAGAACAAGATATAGTATGTTATGTATACAAGATACCCAGGATTCAACATGTGTTCTATGTGTCTAGTCTTTTCCAAAACATTCCTATGCTTTTCTACCACTGTAGATTTATTTGTATGGAAAATCCTCACTCCCAAGATGCCCTTGAGCTGACAAATCATTCCCTGAACAGGAGAATTATTCCCCATTAAACTGATGAGCAAGATTAGCTACCACAGTACGCCATCCACCTCTGTTCAGAACTAGGTAGGAGTCAAGTCAAAAGAAGCGTGAACAGGGCACCACCGTGAGGCGCACTTTGTTCCTGACACCTGCTCGCTTGAATCGCCGAGGACTCAGCTCTCTCTCTCACTTGACTAGCTTTTGTATCCAGATTTCTTCTTCTCCGAACCAAAAGCAAACCAGAAACTCTTCAGTTTCATCAAACCCGTAATTCCATAGTCTCGCCACTCCTCTGAACTCCACAGCCCCATGCTGGGCATCCTGCAACGGCGAGGGATGGCAAGTCAAGTGTCCTGTTACCCTGAATACATGCAACTGGCATCTCACTCGTCCTTATCGTCTCTTCGCACCTGGTTCTCTGTAGTCATCCCAGCAAACGACATTTCCGCCCCCCCCATCATCCTATACTCTCATTTTCTTGAAAGATAAGAGTCCTGTTGATCCCACCCCCTGTTTTCTGCATGTTTTTATTAATGCCACCAATGTAGACATTCTCTGTTAGAACTTTTAGCATACCAGAGACTTAAATGCCTCCACTTCAGCTTCATCTGGATTACTGTAGTGATTTCCTTACTGGTCCCATCAGCTAAAACTCCTTCTATAATTGTCACCAGAGGGATACTCTTTCTTCTTTCTTTTTGAGACAAGGTCTCACTGTGTAGCCCAGGGTGGCCTTGAACTCATCATTTCCTGCCTCAGCCTCTGGGATTCCAGGCATGTGTCTCCACACAAGGTCACAGCGATAGTCTACTATGAAAATACATCCCCAGCCTTTGCCTAAAACCCAGACTGTCTCTGCTGCAATGCTGCAAAAACCAGATTCCTCAGCATGGCCTAAATGGCTGTCCTTTATCCCAAAGTTTTACCATAAGGAGCAATCCTCTTATGTATGTTCTTCAGCCTCCACTCCCTGAGGTTTCCTGACCTGCTGAGCTGGCAGGTCAGCTGAGTCTTCCTGGTTTTGCTCCTATTGTTTCTCTAGCAATAATGGAGACCTCTCACTGCTTCACTTGACAAAAGCTATTGTCTTTGAAAGCACAGCTTAACTATCTAAGGACTGCCTGTTGTTGGGTTTATCTTCCAGGGCATCCTCTCAGGAATGCAGGTAAAATAGCACTGTAAAAGGCAGCCTGGGATACCAGTCATGGTTAGTCACACACCCCTGCTTGACCTGTCACCCAAACTGACACATGAGTCAGCCTGAACCAACCACACTACCTTTATCTTGTTACAATGGTGATTGATGTGAGCGGTTGCAAAGTGACCCGAGTAGAATGCAGATATCTCCATTATGAGCATTAGGAAAAGAGAATGAACCCCTCATTTCCTGCAGAGTCCTAAGACGACACTTGTCTGAGTGGCTGTTTCCCCAAGTTGCATGGAAGCAATGCATATATATTGGAGAAAATGAGTTCACTGCAGAGAGAAGCAGGCCGAAAACCGGAAAACAGGATCCTAAAAACACTGTTTGGGTCCCAGGTCTACTCAGGCATAAAGTCGGAGCCATCCTTTGAATTCCTAAACTATTACTCCTGAAACATCTGTTTTAAGCAACATCTACCTGTTTCTTAAGCTAGTTTGAGTGACTCATGTGTCACAGCTGAAAGTGCCCTGTCAATACAGAAGCCTGTCTGCTCCCTCTGGAGGCCTCACCACACCCCTTTCTCTTCCTTCTCCATAGGCTGTAGATTTTTTTTTTCTTTTTTTTTAATGAGCAAGGTCTTTTTATATAACCCAGGCTGGCTCTGAACCAGCCATCATTACACCTTTAGGGATGTGGATCATTCTACACAGTACTTCAAATACTTTATTCCTTTATCTACACAGACATCTTCACCCTCTGTTAAACTATGGATGGGTTCCTAGAGGGCAGGGGCATTGACTGATATACCTAAAGCTAAGGACACTGCATGATGGACAGATGTAACACACACCTACTGAGTAGTTCTAAGTGAATGGACTGGCCTTTTGCTCTCCTCTGCATGTGTTCCTGCTTATCCATACCTCTCACTCAGATGCTTTAGGAATTCACACTTGTGATCAATGGCAACAAATGTATTATAGAATACACATTAGCCATTATTAGTCAGTAGAACTGAATGTCATAATGATGGCAGTATCGATCCATATAGATCACTATTGCTATGCGTACGAGAAGAAGATTGAAAAAGCTAAGCTGGGAAAGAATCAGGGAAAGCAAAAGCAGTAACTGCAGGGGAAAGTCTAATGGAGACTGTTAACAACCACGGGGAGTGTCGGTGTTCCCCAAGAGACATCTGGAATGAAGTGAGCTCAGTCCATTAGGTGGGTTTCCAGGAGCCTCACAAGCCATGCCCATTGCCTTTCTGTAAGCCATTTGCTCTCCTAGCAGACATCCTCTTGGAGTATTGCAAAATAATAAACACTGCAAACTTTTAGCACAGTCAGGGGCATTTGCTGGAGTGCAGCGCACACTGTTCAAAGGTGAACAGAGTGGGGAGAGGTAGCGGAGGGGGTTAGGGAATCCTCTTTCTGCTGTGGGACAGCTCACGACACGCCTTCCACTCCTGCTGCACGTGATGCTGTCTGGGTGCTGAGAAGTACAAGGTGGCAGCTGGGGGCTGGGGAAGGTCTGTCACCACTTCACTTAACCAAAACCCTTCGACGGCATGGCTTAAAATACCCATGAAGCCACAGTGGCAGCCTGTGGATTGATCCAAGCGCTGGTTAAGCTGAGCTCGTGAGGGGCAGGGAGAGGCGGGGAGGGGATGAGCTGGGAGAGCTGCAAGGAGCAGATACACGGGCTCCTCTTATGAAGTCCTGTCCTGATTTGTGCTAACACCCTGCATCTCCTGGACTAGCAATGGGAAGAAGCCGGAAGACATACCCAAGATAGTTTACCCAGAGATTTCAAATTTTACATAAGAGAAGAAAAATATAAATGGTGAAAGTAAAAATGGCAAGACATAAAAAAAAAGTAAGTGGTAAATGTAACATTTCTTCTTCCTCTGATGGCTCAAGAAAACCCTGCTTTAACCCTATTCATGGTGGGCTAAAGAGGGGTTTTGTGCCCCTCTCCCCTCACAGAGCTGGTAGCCCTGACTTTCTGCCAGTCGGCTCCCAGGCTTTCTGCAACCCAGAACAGAGAAAGAGGCACAGTACTAAAAACTGCAAGGAACAGAAGGTGGTGGGGGTGGAAGGGACGCCACAGAGGAGAGAAGGTATGAAAAAGAGCAGA